GAGGTGGCTCTGACAGCCCCTGTCCCAGGCTGCTCGCAGCTCTCTGCTCCCAAAGCAGACGGGTGACAACCAGGTCTCTCTATTTTCCTGGGAGAAATGATCTCAGCTCAGTCATGGAAGCCAGTCAGTCCCTTCGGGAAGGAGGGAGCAAGGTCTGCTCCAAGCTCTTGCCCATGGAAAGCACAAATCACAGCAACTCACAGCCTCCTCCTTCCTCCTTCCTCCAGCACAAGCAGGCAGATGGTCTCAGGAAGATGTGCTGTTCAGTCGTCTGTCACAGTCTATTTTCAAAGCAGTTTTCTGTACCTGAAAAAGAGAGACCAGGGATGCTTCCTGAACAAAAGGATTGTCCCATCTGTTTTTAACTGCCTCCCTTCCTGGGCTGCCCTGGGGGTGCACGTAAGACCATGACTTCCCCTAACCCAGAAAGCCCAGGAAAGCAGCTCCCTCTTGGCACAGAAAAACCACTAGCATCCAAAAAAACAGGAAGCGATTCATCCCTTTTCCTTAGCGACTCAAAATCTAAGGATGCAAAGAGCCAGAGGTGAGCCAACTACAACGACCATCTCCAAAATCAACAGCTAGGGCAGCGCCCTATTCCTGCATCAGCCCGAGACTCAGAGATACTCTACTCTTCTCAGGCTGCGGAAGATGGATAGACGTGAAATGAGGAAGACGACTCCCCTAGCAGATCACACCTTGCATTTTTACAGAGAAATAAGCAAATCTCACAAAGCAGCTGCATTCAGATGCTCTGCCTCTCCCTGCTGCTAAAAGGTACCAGGGAACTGCCTGACCTGAATATTTATTAATCAGATGAGCAGAACAAAGCCCTGGGCATCTCTGCTGATCCTACTTGCAATCCAGCACGCTCCAGACCACCTCATTACAGGGCAGCTCCGTGGCACACTGAGCAGCCCTAAGAAAAACAAAACTGCATCTATTTTCCCCCTCCCTCCAGAGCAAAGGAATCAGCAAGAAAAAGCCTCAAACCCCAAAACGTTAGGAGTAAATAACTGGGAGAGACAGCAACATCAGTCCTGCAGGTACATCCCTAGTTACCAACTGACCAGAAACTGAAGCGCTTTTTGGCAGCCAGAACTCATGAAGCTTTAAGAGGTTTGTGTCCAGTAGGGAAGACGCTTATTCCACTGAGAAACTGATGGCTGCGTAGGCAGCCCAGGCAAATTTCATCCAAGCCTTTCTCTGTAGGTAGAAATCAGTTTTTCCCCACCACAACAGGCAGCTCACTCTAGGTTACAGCTTGATGGCTATTAAATAGAATAAAATGGTGTGGGAGAATTTGTTATCTCCCTGCAACAGCAAGAAAAACTTACCAGAGCTGGAAAGCTCAGCAGCTCTGTTGTCCAGGGTCTCATCTGAAAATAGCTCTCATTTCAGAGAGAGATTTGTACCACCTTATAGGCAACTCGCAACTTCTGCTCCCCTCCAGGCAGAGAGACTTTGAGCGGTCCCACAATGCCAGCTCCTTACTAGCAGTAGTTTCAACATCCTGGAAAATTGTTGCGGGCACCTGGAGATCCTGCTCCATAGGAACACTATGGCTCTGCTAAACTCTGTTCTGCCCTCGGTGACATTCGGGCAGCGGGCTGAGCGACGTGCCCCACTAGCGCCGCGCACGGCAGGCGAGCAAAGCAGACAGCAAACAGGAACGGCTCCCGCTCCGCAGGCCTAGCTCAGACGCGACTCCTGTTCCTTTCCACCCAACGGGCCAGACCTCCCAGCGCGACACGCACGATTCAGCAGTTGGGGTTACCTGCCCCACTGCTTCTCACCGCTCCTCCCAAACGACTCACCCCACATCAAAAGCCCTCAAGGTCACGGGTGCAAAGCAGGCCCAGCAGGTCACGCGGTCGCGGGAGGCTCGCTCGCTAGGATCCTCCGTCTGCAGGAAGGCACCTGGGCAAAAGGAAGACCGGTTTTCCCCTCCCTCCCTCCCTCCCCTGAGCACGCTAAGGAACCCATGCAAAACCTTGAAGAGTCTAACAGGGAGGGCTCGGTCCTTTCAACGAGCTAATTGAGCTGGTCGTGAGACTAGTTAGCAGCCTTGAGGCGATGGCTCAGAGGCGAGGAATCAGGCAACATTTGGCAGTCACGTCTGCCTTCAGTAAAGTCCAAGGCAGCCAGCCTGCTGGAAGGGGCAAGGGCTTGGTTTAGTCATTTGATTTATGGCAGAACAGTCTGATCTGGAGCAAGAAACCCCACCCCTGCCAAAGGAGGATGGGAACCCTGCTCCCAGCAAGAGTTTTATGGACTGAACCTACAGAAGACAGGCCAAGTTTTCCAAGGACAGCAGGTTTCCCCAAACCCCTCCACTCGTGTATTGCCATTTGGGCTTTCCACCCATGGGTCTGGCAGGGGGTTGTCCTCTGGGTGGAGAAAGTGGAAGTTCACAGACCCTGCTAGCCCAAACCCCTCCTCTTGCTGCCTCCGATCCCAGAGAAGCAAGTGGGTGCCCTTGCAGGGCCACATGTCTGTTAAAAAACAACACACAAAATGGTTACTCAATCAACATTTTAATTGACTTAAACAGAAGGAGCAGTTTCCATAGCAATGGACTGTCAGTGCCAATTTGTACAAAACCCGAGTTAAAAAAGGCACCGAAAACCTTTTAAAAAAAATCCATATTTATTAAAATAAAAAGGTACAAAAGTAACTCTGCATTCAGCTCTGCCAGCTCAAACTCTCCCTGCTTCCTGGAATTTCTTAAACAGAAGTTCGTCTGCCCGAAGGGCGAAGGTCAAGGCCCGTTTCTGGTAGTACTCGGAGTCGAGCGCCAGGTTGTCAATCACGTCCGCCAGGAGATGGGCTCTCTCCACGGAGCTGCCCGGGGCGTCATAGCCCAGGGCAGTGAAATGCACATGCAAGTGGTAGTAGGACGGCTGGTAATGCAGGTAGATTCGCAGCTGGGAGCCGGCCACACCAAAGCGCTTTGCTATGGCTTCCTGAGGAGAAAAAACAGGTCAGGAACAGCAACACGCAGCAAAGGCACGGGATGACTGGGGACAGGCAGCTTGGATGGCAGTGCACGAGAAGTAAGATCCTAAAGGGATCAAAAGAAGAGTGCCCAGACTGCATAAAAGGCAGAGAGAAATGTGGCACCTCTAGGACAGAAAGCAAACAGAGGTGCATAAAAGCATCACAGACAAAAGTACCGCAGCCAGACACGCCTGCAAGGGGAGGAGGATAGCACGCAGGTAGCAGAAACCGATTATTTCACTGGAATGTAGGCAGGACAACAGGATTAAGGTGACACGGGGGTCAAGAGCTTCCACTGAACTCGGGAACTCGTTCTCCGGCATTGACACATTCCTTCCCAAACTCCTGCCGAAGGAGGCCGATCCTGCAGGCCAGACGCTCCGGCTGACAAGCTGTCCGGCTGTAGACCCACTGCAGCTCCGCGTCTGAGGGATCTAAACCGGAGGCCACCTGCACAGGCAAGATGGACGGGCAGGGCGGGAGACACCCAAAGCCTCCGTCGGCCAAGGCCCGTTGAGTTACCAGCCAAGCTCCCTGGCCATCGGGAACGTGTCTGTTTAAGAATTTAAATGGGTGGAGAAAGACTGTAGGACAGTCCCTTTTCAGACAGGGAAAACATAAAGGAAAGCCGTTAAACAAAACCCATGGAGAGGGGAGCTCCATTCACATCCACTGCTGTCCGACAGCCAGGAGGCAGGCGGTGCGGGAGCCCAGGGAAGGGGGCAGAAAAAAAAGCCATTTCTGCTTCTTCCTCCTTCACAGCGAGGGAGAGGGAAACTCCGAAGGGCAGAGCTCTTTCCTGCCCACCTCCACCCTCCTTCGCACCCCCTAGTTTCAGGCTGCTGTACGGATCAGCCCCTCAGGACTAGGAAGGGGGCCAGACGGGGGTCTCGGCAGCGCGGGTTCAAGCGCGCCCCAGGGGGGTCCGCACCAGCGAGGCAGAGACCAGGCGCCGGGCAGTGCCTCCTCCTGCGCTACGCAGCCCGCTGGCTGGCCCACTTCTCCGTGACAGGACGTGCTATCCGCTCTTATTGTTTTCCATTCCACTCTTATCTCTTCAGCCTGCTCGGCAAGTTACAGGATCCCGTTACCAGCCAGTGTAATTAAAGCTATAAACAGCAACAGCGAACTCCACCACGCTGGCTTGCTTTGCCGCTCAGCACACTGCAATCCCCTGACTAATCTCTTAATTAATCTCTGCTTTCCCCGGTGCAATTACTTTCCAGAACAAGCACACAGGGCTGGAAAAATTTGTTGGCCAAAGAAAGAGATTAGAAGGTTAGAAAGCAAGTTATTAACATGGAGGGGACAGGGCTCAACTCTCGGAGCTTGCTGCTCGCAGAGCGATTTTGAGCACTCCCGAAACGCCTCGTGCTCCCCGAGCATCGCGTTGCCTGCATGCCCCACTCGGGGAAAGCGCCCAACGAGGGAACCGGGATGCAGCTCGCGACCTGCAGCAGAGCGCGCCTGCCTGCCCGCCGCCTGCTCTCTGCGCCACTGCCACGCTGTCCTCTCTAAAGCCATGAATTTCGGATGCTCAGCAGCAGGGCTGAAACACAGCTGTTGGCACGGTAGCTGCATGCCAGCGCTCTAAGCTGTGACAGTTTTATAGCTGCCAGGCTGAAAAGGAGAGGCAGAGGTACTTGAAGCAGCCTGGGCCAAGGACCATTCCTGTCTCGCTTTGGGAAGAGAGGTGAGGAGCTTGCTGGCCATGGCAAGAAATCTCAATTCCAAGGCAGAGCGCGTTCAGACACTGCTCCCAGCCTGGCTGCCAAAAGGAAGAGGGTGTTTTCTTCTTAAAGAAGTGCAAGATTCTCCTCCAAAGGGATGGGCGATCTCAGTTACATCCAACACCTCTCCCAGCCTGTTCCAGAAAGATGCTTCCTTCTCCTGGAACAAGCCGCAGTGACATGCGAGCCAGGAGACATAGCATGGGAGGCCAAAAGCAGCCATGCAAAGCTATTGGTCTCCTATGGCCCCAGGGAGCAATCTGCCAAGGACCTTCTCCAACCTGCACTGGGATCTGAGCTGCTGCCCTCCACAGCCAGCCATCTGTGCGCCATGGAGAGTCCTGCACCCGACTCTGCCAAACGTAGGCTTTTCTCAGGGGGAATTTGCTCTCTGGAGTCATCTCCTACTTCATATAAAAGCAAAAGAGTAGGGAGAGCTTAATGGGAACTTAAGGGAAGAGCTGTTATGGCAGAAGGCGCCAGGACATGCTCCAAGCCATAGAGAGGAACTTCAGCCATGCCATTAGCAGTCAGCACTTTGCAGTGAGGTGGGAACGGACACCCTGAAGGCTGCAAGGGGAAAGGAAAAGTCCCCGTGGTCTCCAGGAAGAGATGCCAAAGGCGGCAGTGCAGCGAGTCCACGCAGACACCACTGGGAGGGGTTCACTGCCCAGATAGACCCTTGTAAGGCTAACCCAGAGCACATCGCCCGCCGGACGGGCTCCGCTCTCGTCTCAGGAATAGAAAGAGGCAAGGGAGGCATTCACACCTCCCCCTCCACGTCCCAGGAGGGAGGATAAATCGAGGAGGAACGGAAACCAGAAAATGCTTCCCATGGCCCTGTGGAGACTCGCTGCTTTCCTAGGCACCGAGCCGTGCTTCGTGCCTGGAGCAGTTCAAGACGCTGCTGTAATATATCCGGCCTCAAGGGCATAAAAGTCGGAGCATAAGGCAGGATTTAAAGTGCCCTCTTTTCGCTACAGGGCTCTGTTCTCCCCCTCTCAGCGCTTCCCAGGCAGGCACGTCAGCCTCGCGCTGGGCACCGCAGTGCAACACATGCGGACGTTGCAGTCATGCAACACCACACCGCAGCAGCAAAGCAGCTGCGCTGCCAGGCTCACAGGAGGGTGCACCTTCCCACACCAACCCCTCAGCCCCACATCATTTCCTCCGTTTAGTCTCACAGCTGTCACATACAGTGACACAACACATAACTAGCTATGTGGAAAGTCACTGTCATCCTGCCACTGGTGCATGACAGCAAGAAATCCGTCACCATTAAGGGACTGCCCCCAGTAAAACGGACAGGGCTTGAATTACAACAAAATATCGTGAAGGACCTTGGGGGAGAGATGCGGCCTGTCAGCTGTTGGGCTCCACGCTGCCCAGAGCGTATCGTGAGTGGTTCTTCGCAAGGGTCAGTCTGGCGGCCACCCCCACTGGCAGAGAATTACAGCGGTGCAAACAGTCACCTTGGGCTGGCGAGACCATGCTCTTCCAGGCCGGGACAGCAGCTCACACGAGAGCCTGAGCGGCCTTGCACTCACCTTGCCCTCTTGCAAGATGTTCTTCAGCAGAGGCAGGTGCTCAGCGGTGAGGTCCCGAAGTGATTTTATCTCCCGGCGGTGAACAAGGGCTATCAAATAGAGGTCGTCTAGCTGCAAAGAGACAGAAGACGCTGACAGAGCTGATAAGAGAAAGAGCAGGCAGAGGGCACAAGGACTTAGGGCCCGACGCATTAGCTAGAGCTTTCGAGACTGCGTTATAACACGCAGGTGCACACATGCTCACTACCTGCCGTCCTGTTAACGGACGCCTAGATTGGGTTGAGCTGCAGCATAACGTGCATTCACCCACACGGCCAGTGTATTTTGGGGAACCTTTCTTGACAGCCGTTTAACTGACTCAGACCACTACGAAACACAAGATGACAACTTCACCCCAGCCAATAAACAACGTGACCACAAATATTTTCTCAGCTCTAAAGGTAGATCAGTCAACCCTTTTATACTGTAAGCACAGCCTCCATAGTCACTAGACTTATTTTAGAGCTCCAAAATTAACGTGATCATAGGAAGTTTCCTGTCCTTTATTTCCAATATACTTCAGACTTCAAGGCTAAACTACCTTTCACAAAAATATATCACACACATTATATAATATCTCCTTCAAAAGCACTTTCAGAGTACAGATCAAGACTAGCAACTCCCTCATGAGGCAGAAAAAGCACCAGCACCCGCCATGTTACACCGGGGAAACTGAGGCCTGGATCAGCAGAATACAGAAGGCGCTGGCAGCAGGCTGAGAAGAGCTGCCGGGAATCCTGATGCACAGACAACCCTGAGCACGGCCCTTCTGCAAAAGCAAGTGGTTCACCTCCAGACGAGGATTTACAATGAACTCCAGAGGCCAAAACTGTAACCGTAGACTTCCAAATGAAAAGGTTCCTATATTTCTGCTCTGGCATTACAAGTACTGGACCACTTTCCAGTCACTCCGGTTCTATAAATAACTGTTTAAGACCTAATCTGTCACCTGACAACACCCATGCAGTGAGATACAGCCATTCAGCAGCTCTTCAGCCAGACCTCTGGTATCTCCAGAAGCACCTTCCAAATTAAATGTTTGATGAAACATATGGTCATGGATCACTACGTGTTTTAAACAAACAAAAAAAAAAAAAAAAAAAAAAAAAAAAAAAAAAAAAATCAAGCACTAAATCAAATCGTTTTGTGGCACTACTATACAGAAGGTAATAAACCCAGAGATGAAGTCTCTTTTATTGGGAATTTAATGTTCAGAGAGCAAGAAGCACCCACGAAGACATGACACAGGCACACAGACAGGCATACTGCTATCAATAAAGATGTTCTGCAGCAATAGCTGCAGTTGCAATTCAGTCGCACCCGAAGCTTTCTATACTCTTTATGCCATATCCTAGCAAGCAATTGCTTAAGGCCATTTCTTCAACTGCCTACATTTCTGAAACTGAGTCCTCTCAGCGCGCAAACAATTCTGTTGCGTTTGAATCCCCGTCTCCATCAGTCCACTCAGGGGCTCTCTAACAGTACACTCACTAAAACAAAGGGTTTGGATAACTAAGACCTAGCGTGCCTTTTCAAGGCTGTGAGAAATCCATCTGGCTATTCTAAAACACATCTTTGTTTCCAAAGATGCTCTCCAGACCCTGTTTTGAGACTCTCAAAACATGATGCTTTCATTTATATCCAACAAGCAGAGCGATTCTCATAGCCGATTTGCTTCTTCTCAAAGCAGCCTGCACGGAGCTCCAGAAAAAGATGGCGTATTACTTTGTCTTGTTCAAATCAGAGCTGGCTTGCAGGAGAAAAGCAAACAGTTACTCTCCTTAGAACAACATCTGTATGTTGCTGTTTGAAATAAATAAGCCTGTTGCTAAAAAGGCCCTCAATGACGTAATGCGAGACATCATTTCAGGCAACGCCTCAGGGCTCCTGTGGGCTTGAAAAAAGAAAAGCTAGAGCGATCTAAAACCGGCCTTCCAGCCGCATGTTTAACAAGAACATTATTCCTCCGCACAGTCCAAGTTGTCAAACCGCCACCATAGACTTTTTTTGGTATCAACTTACTAACGTTAAGCGTAGCCTGCTGATCCTGGCCAGCCTCCCGCTAGCCCAAAGCTCAGCGGTGGAGAGGGATCACTGACAGCGCTCCCTGCATCCATTCGAACGCTTGGGCTCTCCCCCGCGGCTGAGCCGAACCTTCCCCTTAGCCTCACGTCAGCGGGCAGGAGCACGACGGCAGGATGGTCGCTTGGGAAGGCCCTAGCTCAACTCACTGGCCGGACGCGGCTGAGCAAGGCTGGCCCTGCGGATGGGGGCCAAAGGGGTTCTCACGGGCAAACAACTCCCCGACATCACGTGAGTAAATACCAACACCTCACTCAAGTGAGGCAGGAAAAAAAAGAAAAAAAGAAAAAACGAAAAAACCTCAAACCAATATCAAGGGCTGATAGGTTGAGTAGCAGCAGCCTTTCCAGCTCCCAGAACATCAAGATCACCAGCAAGCGGAAAGACTTCAAAACACAAACAAGAAATCTTCCTCCCATCCATCAGACTGAAATAATTACAGGTGAATACGCAGCATTTGCAGGCAAAGTGCTAAGTCAGTGTAACGCGATGCTATTGAACAGACTTCTAAGCCTTCGCTCCAGGGAGGTTTGAAGAATCCTGCTGGGAGCCCTATCCAGCGCCGTAATTTAATTTAGTGGCCCGCGGCTCCGAGACGCCGCCTGCGGAGCGTGCTGATCAGATGAATCGAAATCAGAACATCCGAGCGCTTTGAAGAGCGGCTGCTGGGACGAGATCTGTTCTGACAGATCCCAAGTTAATCTGATACATTAGGACTGGAGACACATTGGACTCAAACACACTGTGTCTTTCAGAATATAATTTATTTACACCGACATCTAACTCGAAAGACGTTCCTTCTTTCCTGAGCACGCATCCAACCTTCTGCAAGGCAGGCAAAACAATTCTAGTCTTTCTTAGGACAAGCTCACCGAACAGGAGCTGTGCACGTACCCTGCTCGACATCAAAGACCAGACTGCACGCAAGAGCCTCCAACAAGAGCACAGATAACCCTTAAGAAGGGGGAGCGGTGGAGTAAGAGAAGGGACTTCCCTTTTCCAGCAGCGTTTTCTCAAACTGAAGTCATTTGTATACCGCTAGCAGCAAGCTCAACGATCTACCAGGCCTCTCACGTTTCTAAGCCGTCTTCAAACGTGGGATTTCAAGTCAGCCTGTGAACACTAGTGACATCAAGCCTCGCTGATGCGGTGGGATCCGGCTGGAAGATGGAAGGAACCGGTGCTCACAGGAAGTCCTGAGGCTACTGGGTTCAGTTCTCACTCAGAGCTGCTCGCAGCCAAGGAGAAATTCCTTGGCCCAAAGACAGAAGTCAACACCCCTTGCTGGGATGTTCGCTTGTCTGCCTGGGAAAGAGACAGGCAGCGCAAAGGGCTGCTCGGAGGGCTATAAATCCTCAAGGCTGCAGATGCAGAAAATAAAGTCCAAACCACTTGCCTGGTGCAATGAATCACTAAGAGACAATTCAGTAGTCTAGGCCTGCTTTTTAAAGCTCAGAAAGTGTCCAGCAACTGACACCTCCCAGAAGTGCCCGTCACTGAGAAGAAAGTATCCGAGCGTAACAGCTCTGAGCTCCTTAGGACCTTGTCCTGCCTCCTGCAGGGCCTGAAAGAGCGGAGGCTTAAAGGCATGCTCTGCCCCAGAGACGATTGCTCTCTTGTTCCAAAGAGAGCGAGGGCACATCGAGAGAGGGCAGCCTTTACAGATGGCAGCCCATGAGGACAAAACCAAGACGACCCTCGTTCAGCCTGCAAAGCAACAGCAGCAGCACGAGCAAACATCCCCCACAGACAAGCACCACCATCTAACCGCTCCTGAACTGTACTAGCTCCAAGACAGGGATACAAGAAGTCCCTAGAAAAACCTTAAGTGCAATTTCTAGCCCATCTGTCTCCAATACAGATCAGAGACGCAATACTCAGTTCCAGAGACTTTGCTCAGAGCAAGGGAACAGAAGGCCAGTTGTAAGGAATACACTGCATCTTTTAGGAGCGCTAAATATTACTATTGCCACCTATATGGAAGGCAGGCAGAGGCCCTGAAATTAAAAGCACCAAACAAGGCGTAACAGTAAGCACGACTGCAAGTTTACAGTAGATTGCCTGCTTTGCAAAAACTCTCTGGGCACAAGGTCTCACCTTCTGGTAAGGCAGCAGCAATTTGAGGTAGTTTTCTCCACATACATTGGGGCAGGGGATTTTTGGAGAAGCTGGTGGGGGGGATTCACAGTTAGCTAGACTACCCTCTGCAGAACTTAATCACATGTCCTCACCTAGCCTTTCACCCAAGGCTGCGCTGTGAGCAACTCGGCAACAGACAAGAAATGGGTTCCTCTGACTCCTAATCTGCCTTTGGCCCACACTCGGCAAGAGAAACACAAAACTGTGTTGTGCTAATGGCTCACAAGTGGGGCTTATTTTTAGTTCCTGTTTGTACATTTTAATCAAACAGTAGCTTTCCCTCACTGCCACCCACAGAAGCCTTCTGAGGATGAGAAACATGAAGGGGATGTTTTTGGCTCCACTGACAGCTTTGGGTATTTCATCTCCACGGGCACCCTGCAGGCCTTGATGTCTTCAAATCACAGAAGTACTGCATGAAACTGAGTCAGAGTCGAAGGAAATAACGAGCCACTCAATTTAGCATTACAGCCTGGGCTAAAACCTCTGAATTTCAACAAGTGGCCACTCCAGTGAGGAGCTAAGCAGCTGCTCATAAGCTAACAGCCATCTGTTTAATACTGTGCAGAGGAGAGTTAATTGGAGTAACTGAGGGACAACACATCTGCCTAATTTATGTCTAAACTTTAGACATACAAAGCCCAAAACAAGTTCATCAAGACCAACATGAAGCTGGATTTGGGTTCAAAGACATCATGACAGCGTTTGGGCTAACGCAGGAAAGAAACTGTCTGTTTTGCAGTGTCCACAATTTGCATGCGATAAAAAGATCTGAATCACTGGCAATTCGTTACTTAATGACAACGTGAACAGGAAGGATACATTCCCCTACTAAAATTTGCATCTGTGTGCTATTAATAGGAAAGCGGACATTTCTTCTGCGTTACCTTTAAACAGGCAGTATCCCTTCAAAGATGGTAAGAGTAGCAACAAACCTGGTTTTGATTCCACTTAAAGTCTGGAACCAGAACAAAGCCATTGCAGGGATCTGGGTTTTCATGGATTATTCGATCAGCCTCAGCTTTCTTCTCCAGGATATTATAGACCCACTGAAAAAAAAAAAAAGTGATTTATAAGTCAGCAGAGAAATATAATCAGGCACATTTAGCCCAAGCTCATGGATTAATGCCTATTCACTACAAGTAGAATATTAAAAAAAACCTCTTATTTTAAAAAGAACAATAATTTCATGGTCAATAACGTGTAGTTAATTATCCATAAAGCACTCCACCACCACACTCCAGAGAACTGTGAGCACCTTAGGTAACAGATACCCTCCTGACCCCACTGCATGGCAGTGCACCATTGGCTTGCCAAATTATGTAGGCATTTTGGTTTTCCTCTCAAGCATTAAGAATTGGCCACAGCTGGAGATGAAGTATCGAAGAGAGGTGGTTTAGTCCAGTATAGAAGTTATATTTGCACTTAATAGGATTTGGACATAATTCTCCCTGACAGGGTCTAACCATACTCCAGATTTGGCTGCTTTAGAGGCCATCTATTGACTCTGCACAAGGTACTAGATCAGAGGTTTTTTTAAGCACACACCACAGTCTCTCATTTCAGGCCTTACCACTCTAGAAATTCTTATTAGACAGGAACACTCATACACAGAACTTATTGTGTGTTATTTGGACAGCCCATATTCTTTTATGACCAAAAAAGGCTTTAACTGGTTTTAAGGAAGTCTGATTCCAGCCACACAGGCTAACTCAACTGGTATGGCATTTGCAGGGCCGAAAAACCTCCACGGGCTAAGATCTCCGGTCAACACTTCATGCTGCAACCTTTCCCACCAACACAACTGCCTGCAGTGTCATCTCTACGAGCTCCTCCTGCAGGCTTTGCCAAATTATCCTCCGATGGTCCTGGTTGTCATTAACACTTTTGATTGGTTTTATTACAGATAATGTATTAAAGCTCTGAAAAGAAAGCCAGGTCCACTGCTCATCATAGTATTGAGTAAGCCCCTGCAATGAGAGTTTTCTCTGAACAAACAGTGATAAACACAAAGGGAACTCCCTAGTGCCTTGAGGCCTCGTTGCAGAAGGCCACAGCGTGACTCAGTATCCACAAGGAAATAAGCAGTCAAGAGTTCAAACCTTGCTGATTTAACCCCAGCAAGTCAAGAGCAGAGGCTGGTGCAGACCTAGGAGCTTTGATCTCTCTCTCTCTCTCCCCCAGAGCAGTCACGGGATGCAGGGCCACACGTCGATGCCTCCACGCTTCAGGAGGCAGCCTCAGCCTGCTACAAGCACTAAAACCCTAAAGGGCAGTGACTTTCCTCCTCCTCCATGCTCCAGTATGCTGGCAGTGCACAGCTATAAGCGTTCAGACACATCAGCCACAACCAGCTCTTCCCCAGCTGACAAACCGACAGCAGGAGACAGTGCCCTGCAGCTCGCTGCGCCCTGCCTCCTGTCGACACGGCAAGCAATGCCACTTTCAGAGCAAGCCAGCCACTTCAGGCCGCAGTAAGAAGTCAACTCTTCTGAGGCTCAGCAGACATCTCTCATAGCACTGCACAGAGCTCTGTGGCTGTTTACACCTTTTACCTCCCACACTGCACCGAAACCTTTACAAATCCTTCTGGAAAGGAAACCTCAGATGATTTTTCACTCAAGAAAGGAAGCAGCAGATTGCTTGGGAGCCTGCGGTTGGATACAGCTCCTGCTGTTGGCAGCTAGCATTCTTTGGGTGAATACAAAAGGCCTTTGCTTTCCAGAGCAACGTATTTCACTTGGTTTCCGGATTGATTAGAAAACAGCTCACCCTTCTTCTTCCTCTATATTTAAAGCTTCAACCTCCAGATTGTCTGTAATTCTTGCTCTGATTATTCCCCTGCGTTCCTCAGCCAAGGGAGCCACCAGTGACTCCAGCTGCGGTAGCAGGAGAACAGCAGGAAGAGGGACCTCAGATCCCAGAGTACCTCTTGCTGGAGCACAATCGTCAAAGTAAAGCACGGGGTAAGACTGGAGGATCGCTCTTCCTTGCTGCAAACCTGAGCTTAAGCATCCTTCCTTATACTTCTGAAAGGCATTTTACAGTTCTAGATTAAGGTTACCTATTGTATTGGACTGTGTCAAAAGACATCCGTGATCCTACTGAGTTCTCGGTCTGCCAAACAGGCCTAGCTCCTCTCTCCCTGTGAGACTGCCCCGCAAACAAAGAGGAGCGCACACTGTTGTCTACGAACACCAGCTCCTAGTAACAAGCCACCCACCTACTCCAAACAGCACCTTGCCAAATGCAAACGTCCTGTTTTACAGAAAGAGCTGCAACCTGTTCTAACCACAGGGTCTTGCGCCCTGGGGTCTTGCGTAAGGCTTCTAACATTACCTTGAGGTCATATTGAAGGCTTCCAAGATCAACCAGATCTTTAGAAGATAAGACAAGCTGGTAGAACTGGCTGGGGTTTGAAGGCTTACTTAAATCATTTCGAAACACTAGTTTTCCTCCCAGTCAATCTCTGGGAAAGGAAAGTCTTAACTGAGACAATTAGCTTGCAGGCAAACCCACTGTTGTCTTAAGGACATGGACAAACATCTAAGTCAAATATAATACTAATCACTGTCACACTTATCTTCCAACCAAGCTTAGGTATGAGACATCTCTAAGCACGTACAGAAGAACCAAACCACTACCACTCTACCAGTAGTGCAGACACCAAGTGAACTGGGTCAGTGGATGCTGTGTGCAAAGTCAAGATAAAAGAAAATCCTTTGAGGGAACTCTGTCAGGAGTTAAATTAATCTAATCAAAACTTAATGTCATTGTGAACTGACCTGGATATATCCTTAGGGACAAATAAACCTCTCCTCCCTTGATCTCTTCCCCCCCCCCCCTTTAAGTTTTTTTTCTTCCTAGCAACAACACCCTACAGAAGATCAGATTCTCAAAGAGATTTTGGAAGGCAAGGAACAAGATCGCTGAGCTCTGTGACCCTAGAAGAAAAGCAGAGCAGGAAGCTCAGCAGTTTTAAAGTTTGCCTTTTACTTCCTTATGCCTCCTCTTCTCAGCAGTGCCAAGCTCTCGGTACCCTAGTAAGTCCACTGAGCAGATGAGCTAAATTCTAAACGAGTGCTGCCTCATATGATCAGCAGGTGATCCGCTGGGAGCTCTTGCTGATGCCCGTACCAGCCTGGGGAGGACAACACACATCCAGAGCCCGACACCACAATGAAGCTATTGTGCTGAAATCATCCATACTTTGAACTCAAATCTCCTCCCAGCAGAAAACAGTCTCCTCTGTAATCCTCCCATGCTTCTGCTACCCTTCATATTTCTGCTTCCTCCTCTTGTGGAAACCAGTTGGACAAAGACAAGAAACTCCATTATCAAGCCACAAAGCTCAGGGACTGATCACCAGACAGGGCCGGCCAAGACCTCTCAGCTCAGCTGAGACAGACCCTCCTGATGGCCACTGGGAACACACTTCCACATATCTGTGTAGTGCAGAAGTCAGCCCACAAGCATTTGGGGAAACAGGCAGAGAGGCCTTGCTCTAACAACTTCTGAAGCAGCTGCTAAATCAGGAAACTTAACAGCCTTCAGAGCAAAGACATTGAGAATACATTTGCACAGGTTGCTATCATTTTCTGGCACAAACACACTCCTGTCTTCCTCCAGCTAATAAATGCCTCCTGTATGTTATTGGTCTGACTGCTGGCAGGAAAGCTGAAAGATGGAGCAAACGAAAGCAGGCAAATGAGGAGTAATTGAGTGTATGCTTCAGCGTGCAAGGTGCCTTCCGGTACTAGATGCAAGAAGCAAGACTCGTGTTCATCTGCAAGTGATTAGAAAACAGACATCACAACCTCAAAGCCTGTTAACCATTCTGCTGCTGTTCAAGGCAGCAGGAGAGAGGTCTGTGGGGAGGGAATGCTGTGGGAATTACAAGACCTTCTTTCCCCCCTCCGAGAAAAAAGGTTATTTTTAATGGATGGCCTGATGCTTCCCTCATCAGCAAGTTGCCACATGCTTCCCTCATCAGCAAGTTGCAGAGGTAGCATCACAGAGAGCGTGCAGAAGCCACTGACTAGTTTTAAGAGCCATTCAGGTTGTGTGCTGGTTTCCATTTCACAGCAGTGTCTGCACAGATTAGATACTCAGGCAAATCAGCTGCTTTTAATGCACTGAAAAAGCAAAAACCAATTACTCAGTAAGCCTAGCATTGCTGGAATTCATTTTTATTCCCCCTTCTGCACAAGCTGGCATGAATTAAGTCCCTACAGACTAGAGACGCGTGTTCCTTCGCTCTCTAAAGAAGAAAGACGAGGCAGAGGGAGAGGTAGGCAGAAAGGAGACCCAGCAGTGGGCTCAAAACCTCCTTCTGCTGCAGTGACCACTTAGTACCGAGTGGAATAGTCTCCTTGCAGGATCAAAGGGCAGAGCAGCTGTATACAAAGCACTAACAGTAAGCTGTGATGCAGGAATCCACAGGTAATCTAGGTCTTCCCATTTCCACAGCACCTAGGAGACTCCTAAAAACCCAGCAAACTGTACCAACGCCCAGGGAGCCACTCTGAAAAAGAAGAGTCACACCCCAACATAGCCAGTCTCCAAAAAGTTTGAGAAAGGCAGCTTTGGATACATCTCTACAGGAAGCACTGTTTTTCTATAAAAAGGTAGAAGTGCCACAGGGAGAACAAAAGGACGAGGCTAGCGAGGGATTCCAAAGGGAAAGACAGAGCCCTGTTGTAGCATTGCTGAGCTCACCCCAAAGGTCAGACATCCTCAAGAAAGCACAACAGGTAAGTGGATGTTTCCAAGAGAACAGACAGCAATTCCAAGGCATCACAACTCAATCATCCTATATAATGATCTGCAGCTGATCATGTTTGAGAAACAGAGAGGGTGAAGTACTGCCAAGCTGATAACGTACTGAAGGAGCAACCAAGAGGGAGATGGGGGCAGAGGACTCCGATTCATCTGTCTCCAATCGGGGCTTCTCAGGAGACATCTGATGGCCCAGCACGTTAAAGAGGAAGACCAAAGTCAGCCAGAGCCCTCCTTCTGTCCCTAAGGCTCCTGCAAATGTCAAGTTTTGCAGAGATTCTTGACTTAAAGGTACGTTTTCACTGCTGGTTTGTCTGGAGGAATGAAAAACTAATGAACGTGCAAGGACTGCAATTGCACGAGGCCTTGAACAGCTACTTGCACTCCTACAAGTACAGCCTCTGGCAGCTATGCTGATAGGGAAGAACCAGGTTGCATACATGAATGTCAAAACCAAGGCTGCTAGGAAAAACCCAAAGTTGAGAGCTAAATTTTTTTCTCCCGCCCTCAACTCCAACCATCCAAATCCATACCAACGCTGGCACAACTGCAACCAGCCTTGTTTGTCAAAGGCGGGGTCAAACAAACCCAAAAGGCAAGTATTGCATACACCACTGCCAGCAAGACTTCTCCATCTCTGTGGAACAACGCGGTGTCCCAGATAACACAGGCAACCAGCAGTACCCGTACCTGGATGCTGAAGCTCTGGGATTGTATGAAGGGCAGCGTCACGGTCTCGTAATCCTCCCAGGTTTCTCGGATGAGGTGCACTTCTTGACGGAGATATTTCTGAAGATGTTTCTCTGTGGCAGGATACACCACTGTGGTTTTTATCTCTAGAAATAAAAACGTTTACAGAGTTATAATCAGTGCTGAAACCTCCCCCAGTCCCCCGATAAGTCTGTTTTCCTTTCTAATAAATGTTACAATAACACATTTCAAATGAGATACCACTAAAATAGCAGGGAGAGGGGAACTGACATAAAAGGCAAACAAATACTTTAAACTCCAGGGCTCCTACTGCTCTTTAGAAGGAAATATTCATATAGCTGCAGACCTGCAAAGCGATAAGCTGACAACACAGTTGGAGCCTGTATTTCCAGTTTGGGTGGAATGGTACACTGTGTGAAAGTATTTTTCCCACACTTGCTTTTCAGACATAACAGCAGCGACAGGGCAGAGCTGAGGTTTCAGAGGAAGAGTTTATGTGCAGCGTATAAACAGAGCACAGCAACACCACCCTGGGCAGAAGTGTTTCTTCCTCATTCCAAAATCTAAAGCTAATCAGGCGCTAACAAGTAAGTGTTTAGCTGCTTTCTCCAGCCACTAAACCAGACATCACATGAGCTGCTTACCTTACAGGCAGGGCTACCCGCCTGCAGCACCAGGACACCCGCCTTCCCCAGGGACCAGCATGAGAAAGCCATGACAGGGCTTGCTGGCAAGGGTGGGAGGGAGTAGATGCTGCGGGAAGTTGGGGTTCAACCTGCTCTCCACCAGCTTGCATGGGTCCAGCCCTCCCCAGAGGGCTGGGTAATATTCTGTGCTATTTCCCCAGCCAGAGAAATAGTCCTTCACTCCATCCTAACGAGGATATTGAAGGTTGGCTGTAAAATGGAGGGAGGGAACTGGACACAACCAGAAACGTTTGGGGAGAGGATCCAGGCTGTGGTCCTCCATGGGGTTGGGCGACAAGGCACTTTCTGGAGAAAGCCAGGAGGGACACCTCAAAATCCTTGGAAAGCTAACCTGCAGCAACGGGAACATCTGAAGGAAAGCAGAGAAGCTCACAAGCCTCCTTTGCTTGCACTTCCAGAGACCTTTTGGTAGCACTGAGGTGTTAGGAAGCACCAACTCAAAGCAGGACTCAGGGACACGGTGACATGGCCACAATCGGACTGGGAGACAGTTTATCTACCAAAGGATTAGAGAGCTGCTCTTCACGGAGAACCTGAAACCATCTTATTCCCCTACTTCCACCCCTCTGGGGACTCTACCAAGCAAGCGTGGTGGGTTAACATCGCATTAAGACGGACGCAACCACACGCTACAGGCTGGGGTACATCACACTTGTGCCATGCAGCCCATCACAGCGGAAGGTAACAGCAGCCACGCAGGTCAACCATGCCACACTCAAATACTCGAATCCTTCCGAAAATACCTGCATCGTCAATACCTAAATACCCAGCCAGGCTGCCTTCTGCACCTAACTCCCCACAGGGTTTCAGTCTCTAAACGATACTCATCCCAAACCCCAAAGCTATAAGCTGCTGCTTTTTCCAGAGAAATCACCGAGATGTCAGCTGTTAATTCCTTATTACCCAGTAACTGCTAGTAACGAGGAAGGCGACAGGAATAGATCCCAGCAGCGCCAGAGAGATTTGACTCGCGGCTTGAACAGCTGCTCTTCATATGGCTAGCGACTCGACACCGAGCAGCTCTGCGCTGGAAGCGCTCAACCAGGCTGCGTCCCTGCAGCAGGAACAGTCCTCCGGCTTTCTGCAAGTTGAGGTTTTTTTTAGTTAGGTGTGTGGAGAAGGGGAGGAATTGTCGCAAATAGACTAACTTGTATGGCTTTATCTGAGCTTAGCTTGGTAACTCCATTGTAACTATTACTTTCCAGGACAACACAATGGAAACCCAGAAAACCCTGAACTATTTCAGCCCTGGTGCGGAACGGGTTTGCGTCGCTTCGGTTGAGCTGCTCGAATTCCCGCAAAGTGAGGAAGGCCGTTAAAGCTGCTTTCCGATTGTAAATAGCCAGATTTGAAGGAGCTTGGCTCCCACTTCAGCTCTAAGATGATGCAGCCTGACTTTGTAGGAGCCAAGAGCCAAAACCGAATTGAACACAGCTTGGAGGGTCTTTCGTAGCACAGCCTGCTGTGTGAGAGCGCTCTAGGGCTGACTGCTCTAAGGACAGAACGATTAGGCCACAGTTTCTTCCATTCAGCTAACAAAGCGGAACAAAAGCTGAAGCAGGACAACCAGACCAGACAGCCTTTCCAAGGATACGCGTACAGCAGCGCAGACAGCAGCATCCAAAAGCGTACAGGTCTCTGCGAGTGGCTATGTTATCTTGTTGTAATAGGTGATAGCACTTATTAGCTCTACGTGGTTTGGGTAAGGGTCCCTGTGACAGCCCACTGACACCCCCAACCTCAAGAGGCAGAGCAACCAGCTGGGACAGCACGCCGTCAGAGCATTTTTCTCGTCCATAAAAAAAAAGAGAGTAGAAAGGATATATAGGAGCACAGAAGTAGGAGAAAATGATAACACTTCTGCCACAATAATTCATTACACCCCAACACCACTCATCCAGCCCCTGAACACCCTGTCCTGTCCCATTACATCCCGTTTAGGCTACAAGCCTTGCGCCCCAGCGTCCCAAAAGCTTTGTCCATTCATAACATGTAACACAACATGGAAATGATCACTCAACTCCTCTCAAAGCCTCTTTCAGCCACCGAGTCAGGAACAGCTTTGCACTCCTCGTGAACAGCCACATGATATCTAGGCCATCCTCTCTGCCCTGCAGGCAAGTCTCTTGACTAGCCAATGTCCCATGCCAAACATGATGCACAGGAACAAAACCTCCTTGTGCGTGGTGACTAGCAGCATTCATCTGGTACAGACCCCAACTTGCATCATCTCTCCTGGAGAGGAGACCCTGATGACTTCCCAGGGCATGCAAACAAGATAAGGGCTGGCACCGCTCCTTTTCAGCGCTCCCAGCCTTAAGCATGCTCAGCTTGGAGTCCTTTGAGTCCCTACAGAAAGCAAGAGGTCAAGGACGCGGGGACGCATCAGAGCGAACGACACAGGCTGACCGGTTAATACAGCCAGGGAGATGGCGTAGGGAAAAAAGGGTTGGAAGATTCAATTTGCTCCCCTGTACCAGCTGATAAAGAGCATTTAGCCGTTTACTCTCTCTAATAAGAGAGAAACAACCGCTGTTTACCTTCAGATTAAAACTTGGCCAGGTACTTTCTGTGACATTAAACAGGGTGCAAGCATGCACCTGACGGACCTGGAAGCTTTGACCTCAGCAGCACTAAATCTGACCCACAGCACTAAAGCAGCTGGAAAATATCCCTCTGGCTGAGATTAGATCTGCAATACAGAACCTAACGTAAGCCCAATGGCATGAGCAGTGCCTCTGCAGTCTTAGCTAATGGAGAGATGCTATAAAATGTAATGCAAGAAGGAGAAAAAGCTTGCAACTCTAAACAAACCCTGAACGGCAACCGCCTCCATCGGAGCTAAGTGGCAGAAGTACAATTCCACCCACGTGAACGGCTGCGGCACTGTAAATGCAAATCAGCTATCAGAGCTGGTCTCTCCTCTTCTTCATTGCCCCCTTCCAGGCAGGATCACACCTCTGAACACAAGGCCACCTCGTGATCCAGATTTTCATATTGAGATCTGTGCCTACACCCAGCATCCTTCACACGTGGAAGACAAGGCAACCCCGGGCCCAAATCCCTGCTTGCCCCAAGGTCTAAGACGGCTTTGCTGCTGTCGTGAAGACTGCTGGCTATACACTACTGGCCAAGTCATTCACCAGCATACAGAATAGTTATGCTTCATGCTTAGTATAAATATGTTCCCCAAACACCAAATTTAAATATCTGTTTGTTCTTAAAGCCAGGACTTTAAAAGGTTTTTGGGTTTTTTTTTTTTTTCCTTTAAGGTCAGCACTACACAAGCTGGGAGACTGCTTTTTCATTTCATGCCAAATCCAGCTTAAATGAAATCCACAGGAAAATGCTGGTAACATGAAATATGAAAATGTAAACCACAAGGGCAGTCTGGTCCGATTCCCACCATACACATGTTCAAACAAGGTTGTTTTCCAGGACTCGATTAGCACTTCTAGCGGGATGATGTAATAGCAAAAGCCGAGGCTGCAGCTCTTCCACTACTTGCTTAAAAAGACAAACACACAAAGCACCGGGGGGGGGGATACAAGAGAGAAGAAAAATATCAAGTTCAGCCTTAGGCTGAGGCTTCCACAAACTAATTACATACTCAAAGGCAAGGGAAGAGCAAGAACTCCAGTGAAGCCCCCCTACACCCTAAGGATGGTGACAACTGCAACACATGCACCTGTGCTCTCTTTTTTACACACTTCTGCAGAGAGACTCCCTCCGGCCGCTCGGAGGCTGCAGAGTATCCCAACTTCCCCGGCTTCGTCTCCACAAAGTACCAACAGGAAATGGGCAGCGCTACCCCCTCAACTTGGGGGCAGCTGCTCTCAATGCAGACAGTCACTTAAAGTGCTTTAAAACATAATGCAAGATCAGAGAAATCCTTAATGTGTAGCTGTGGTTGAGCAGCAGATGTTTTAAAAAGAGAAGAAGGAAGACATTGTGGTTCGCTAATGATTATTTCCCTTCTAAAGGTCTCGGCAACCCCAAAACGCTGCAACGCTGCTAATTAACATAAACGACTAAGACCAGAGAAGCTGTCATAATAAAAGCCAAGCTCTGAACGTTTTTCAGAGCCCAGCACTCACAATTGGTACGTGAAGGCCTGGCCTGGCCAACACTGAACAGCCCCACTTAGCCACAGAAAACGTCCACACGACAGACATCAGCAAGACCATACTCGCGGCTAAATCTTTCCATTTGCTGGTGACCAACCACATTCATACTTAACTTTAAAAGCTACTCTGTTCCTGAAAGACTCCACATGCATTCAAATATCCTGCGCAGTGTGGTGCGGCCAAAACCAATGCTAGCGTGGAAACAGAGAGGTAAAGAATCACTTGGCACACAGCAGTTTTTTCCTTTTCTTTAAGCTCTTTCAAGAGATTGTCTCCACTTGCATCTAAGTC